ATTTTGACAACTCTATGGATTATATCCAGTTCTGATCTAGACATACAGTACTAAGATAGACGACTATTCCTTCAGCATCTTCATGCTACATTGCACCTTCTCTTCCAAGTGAATCTACAGACAGTATTCACATCTTTTGCTAGTGTTGTTGGAGTTAGCATTTAGGTGCAAAAGTTAGCGCCGTTTGCACCACCCCTGATTTTTGTAGAGGAGTAGGGTGGGTGAACATGGCTTTGTGCAAAATGGGAACGTTTGCTATTGTTTTCAGAACAATTTCACTCTCTGCACCATAACGCCCCCCCCCCCCCACCCCCTGCTATTCCTATCATAACTACCCTCTCGAAATCAAAGCCGGAAAGGTCTGAAAACGCTAAATAAGTAACTGTAGGACAAAATGACCCATCACTGTTGCCATTGCATAACGCATGTTATTACCACTAGATGACAGTTATCTGGTCCCAACGATAAGGCCATGCCCCACGCTTGAGTCACAAACAAAAGAGGATTTATTAGTAGTCGATGAGCGATGATGCTCTAGATAGTAACCTTGTTCGACTATCGTATAACAGAGGCTATAAGCTGCTCTCCTAGGTGCTGTTTTCAAACTTTAGGCTCTGGGCTTTCAAAATAGACTTCTTAGTTTTGGATCCTGGATGGATGCTGGATATAACATACTGCCTCGAACTCTAAAATACAAGCTCGTGCTCTGCATTGACCATTCCTGAGAGAACACCCACTACAAACATGAGCTTCGTTTTACGCATAATGCGAATCTTGGGTAGCTGACAGCCGAGTTTGACTAAAATACAACCGCCAATAACACCCATTACACTAATGCTGCATTCATACACCAGGGAGATTCAGCGATTCCGTCTGAAGAAACGTATACGTGTCGATTTCGGGATCAGCGATTATCCTTTCCAATAAACATCAACCCTCCCGGCCGCTGCTAGTCGCTGAAACGCCGATCGCTGAATCGGTTTACCAAACTGGGACTGCTATCTTGGCCTAATATTCCTTTATGTTGTCGCAACTACGCATAGCTACGTAATACTTAGTTACGGGGCATTTTAAGATATCCTTCTTGAAACTTTCTTCGAGTCAATAGAATCAAACCATAATGGACGAAAAAAATGAAAGAAAGGCTTTAGTGTAGATGTACTGGTGAAAAAAAAACTAATATCAAACCAGACAGGTGTTGACAGTGGAGGTATCAATAGCGACAGATCTCTTAGATTGATGCAAGAAGTCGTCCTAACACATTGACGACAGCCCCTTGTGCATGTGCCTCGGCACCTTTTTGTTTTTTTCCACAATCATCAAAACTTTTTCAATAATTTCACTACTGGTGATTGATGCAGTTTTTCGGAAAAATAACGCATGCACACTGTTCTGAAATATAAAAATGCCAGATAAATTCAAAAAAAACTAGCGAGAATTGGGTGAAACTATGGAGCGCAACCGCTCTCACTGTCGTCAATGTGTTAATTTATTTGACAATTATTCCCTACGCCTTGCTCATGCCATGAAGAAGTGAACATGATGATACCTCTACAGCACTTTGGAAGCCGACTGGTATGTAAACGAGATGGTAGGGAAGAGGATTACAACCGCAACCATACACTTGAACGTTGAGTGATTACGTTATCTGCCTTGCAGGCACGGCTGACCCTTCCGTTGGTCGACAGAAAAGCGGGAACCGAAGTCGTGTTTCGTGAAAATTGGGTAATTTTCGCAGACTTCGCCGTCTCAATGGTTACAACACCCGTTACCTGGTCGACCCAAGTCTAGATTTTGAAATTGGTTGTGAAGTTAGAAGTATTTCCGGATGAACCGGGATTCTCGACACCACCAACCGTCAGACGTGGGGTGGAGAGCATGTCTGACAATGAGACTGGTGACACAGCCACTACCAGTTGTAGGAGAGCCAAGTAAACCTTCTAATTGTGGAAGTGCTGATCAGAGGAAAGTAACGGATGTAGTAAATGACAGGCAAATGTCAACGGTTGTCAAAGAGGACAAATGATGAATAAATGAATGAAACCCTACAGTCAAGAAAGCGGAGCAATACCTACGACAAGCGTAGATCTGTCAACATGTCCACATACGAACTTGCTTTGTAGTTGCATGCGGAAAACGGCTATCAATCTCGCGTTCATTATATGAATATATAAGACGGTGATATGCTTGAAGGGTGGGAACAACCTTTTCGCAGCAAATCAACGGGCAGAGCCTTGTGAAAGGAACAGTGCGCAACGCCTACTCTATAAATGAAGCAAGATGACTAGAACACCTTGGGAGGGCCCATTATATGAATACTGCTATGATGGATAAACATGAAATGCACAAAGTTCCAATGAAAATGAAATATCTTTAGACTGAATTTCTGTGGGAAAATACTTAGCGAGTTGAAACTAGAGAAAATGCAGTATGGGAAAAATCGTGGATATAATATAGTGAAACATATTTATGGTATTCGGCCTATGAGATAATGATGAATAAATGAAGCCATAATTGGAAAGTTTACTCGGTTGTTCCAAAAAAAAAAAACAGTTCAGCAGCACATTATAAAAGTCACAACAAATCAACAATTCCCGCATTTACAACAATAACAATTCTGAAATTATTAACAAACTGTTAGTGACTTATTTACCACCTAATTAGTTGATAAAACGAAACTAGTTGCTCATAAACGGGAAATACATAATCATCATAAAGTGGAATATGATCCTTAACCCTTTTCCAGCTGGGCACGTAGAATTCTGTTGTGTTCACGTAAATCACGATTGCTCATAACAAGGCACCTAAACGAAAAAAATTATCTCATAACGATTGTATTCCAATAAGGAACGAGTGGGGAGAGGGGGAAAGAGTGGAAGAGACGAAGCGATAGGAAGTAGAGGAGATGGTTGCGCTTAACAGAATTTCCAAAGCCATATTACGCAGAAACTCTATGGTTTCCGAAAAGTTAACGAGAGAAAGCATTTCGAAGAAGTAGCAGGAATTTCGAAGACATTTGGAAAATTGACACCCCTCTTCACTCCACAGGCTTGTCGAACTTGGAGGATAGACTGGAGAAGACTACCAAGGGAGTGGAGAATCGATGAGGGCCGCATGGGGACGAGAGGAGGTCGTAGTGACCACCTCCAAAATGTACTTGAAGCATTGGTTCTTTTTGTTAGGCGTAATGTATGCACGGTTCAGGCATTTCACTAAGACCAAACCTTTCCTCTCTAATCTATGAACTTTTCGATTATTAGACTAGCACGAGAACCCAAAACAATTTCAAATCGTTCTATCCTAAATCAGGGTACAAGCAAGATCCTTCAATTCCAGATGCTACAAATTTGAAGACATGGAAGTGTTTATCAACTCAGAACACCTCTTTGAAACTTTCTTACTAAAACGTGTGGAAAAATTCAACCACTAGCCTGAACGCCATCTTGTATCCTTCAGGGATTGCTGGGTCGGCGTTGACGCTCTTTAGGACGTCTTCCCATTCATCTACAGCAGATGTGCGATTGGACAACGAATCACTAGAGATCTGCGACTCTATTTCTACCTGGAGAGAAAAATATGAGCCACGGAAAGAATTATTCTCTATTCCTTACCTGAGCAGAACTAGTGTCAAAATTTTCTCGTTTCACTTTCGTATAATCGTAAACTGGAATGTCATCAGGTGGTCGATCACGTGGAAACTTGAGCTGAAAACTTGGAAGGAAAAATTACTATGCGGAAAGCACTCTCATAAAAACACTAGTACTGAGACGTGGAAATCACAATCTCCGTGTGGCTATTTATTCGTCCGGCTCCAAATAACGCACGCGGGTGCAGGTGTGGAATCATAAGCACAGAGAAGTCGCCATGCTGTGGGCGACCAATATACAATAGTGCAAGGTGAAAGGCGTAGGATAGCGTCAATACCGTTCTTAGGTGATGATAACCTTTACTCTATACCCTTGCAGAAAGGGATATTAATAGTACGTCATGGTATGTCACTTATTCGAAAGCAGAGTTGAAAAGAACGCTTTAGTTGATCCCTGAACATCATCACTCTGCCCCTTCACAACTGTGACGATAAGTGGCACATTCGTTGAATAGCAGTCATTAAATGGCCTTCAACTGCGAATATCCAACATTAAAAAGGTTTCCTAACTCACTGTCAATAGATTTTCAAGCATACACAATATTTCTTCGACTTTCATGCAATCTTGGCATAATGGGTACCGTGTTAGATGTATCTTGGAGCTTTTCTAGATTGGAGGGCATTATTATGCCGAGGCTCCTGCGCCTTTGCCTTTGTCAGACCCTGAAAAAAATGAGACTTACTCGCCCAAACGCCTTAGCCAAGATAGCTCCACTACAAAAGACCATCAATTGATTGATAGAGGCTCAACTTTGGCTCAACTTGATTTCAGCCGTCGGGGCGCGGAATGGGCCACCCTGCAGCTGACTCAAAGAGATAGTAATGATAACCAATTTCATCCCTCCAATCAGGTGGGTGGAAATTTCGAAAGGGCGCAACCTTACCGCTTAACACCACGAACTCCTACTTTCTCTTAATTTGGAACCTTTGGAAGTGGCGAGCAAGTCTAATTTCTTTTTTTGGCTATACTAGGGCTCTGTCGA